CAGGATGCGGTTTAGCAAACGCGAATGAGACGGCGAGGGTGGTGCAAAAGACAGGCATTGTCTTCCAATGCACACACGCACCAACTGCGGACGGCCATTCGGTTCAATCGTTGAAGTGCATTGCAGGAATTTTACGGGTACTCAAATTATTGCGAATGATGGGCAACATGTATTCAACTGATGAGAGATGGCGTTTCCACTTAAATGGGACTCATGGGTGCCGCACAAACATACGAGTCAGCTGAGACTCATGTTATAAATCAGGATAGTGAAATTTCTATTCCATATTAACTATGAGAGAACGGTTGCCAAATGAAGGGGAGAATTCTCTAGCAATCATCAATTGATACGACATTTATATCTGTGCTTCTGTGCACCTTCACATTAGAAGCGTGTTGAAACTAAAGCTGCAATGGATATATATATATATATATTTATGTATTTTAATATAGATAATTGCTCAACTATCGGTCTAATTTCAGTGGCAAATAAATGCTTGCATTGTTTCCAACTTCAAACTCACTGATGGATATGACGCCTGGACAGGTAGTGAATAAGTGAAAGTGTACACGGTTCCATTGGCTCGGAGAGGACATCTGGGTCGCATATAAGGACAAATGTAGGAATTCGTCAGGTTGAACGGTATCTCTTGCCCGTCAATAATTCCCGAAAATAAGAATGTCCCGGTCGTGATGCGTCTACCTGTAAGAGTGTGTAAGTGTAGGTGAGAGAAGTAGGCATCAGCCAGTCAGTTTACAAATGTCTAGTCCTATAAGTGCGTGTCCTGTGTTGCACTTACTTGTTGTGAATTTCACTGTCACACGAGTGTTCTCGCCCTTGTACAATATGCACGGACTGCTGTCGCATGGAGTCACGCTTACCTCACTCAGTGAGCCCATGGTTGAGCCTACAATGAAAACAAGTAAGCATAAGAGGAGCGTTATACTGATGTAGTTCAACAATATTCTCTCAAGAACATGTACAATGAATCACATGTTTACACACGGCATCCGTCAGCGAATGCAGAGACAACGGAAAATGAACATTACAGGTTGAAATGTAAATGCTAGTGAGTACCGTGTGATGACCAAATTAAGCGACATCAATGCAAACGGAAAGGTTGCGACTAATTGAAAGCGCCAGTATATACCCACTATTATGTTAACTCGACTATCGTGCAAAAGTGCCAACCTCAAGTGTGTAGGGAAAGCTGTCCAGCGCGTCACTTCTCATGCGCTATCCTTTCCGAATGTAGATGGTACCAACTTACTAGTGCATACAAGGTTCATGCAGCCTCATATGATTTATCGAACATTGTTAATGTGGAGGCAGAAACAGCGTAAGTGGAAACGAGTTAATGGCTGGTAGGAAAACGCTTTATTAACACTTCACCTAGCCGTATTGTTTACTCAAAGAAATCCAGCCGTCCCATGAGATTATGCTGCGAGTAGGTTGCAATTGGTTGCGTCAAACATGGCTGAGATTTCTCGGCTTCTGGCACGACGTTCTCGGAGCGCAGAGTACACACCACTGTTGAACATTTTCCGCCCTAGCACAATCAAACTAAATCGCTATAGAAGGAAGAACCATTTTTGGTATGTTCAGTCACTTTTTGTTGAGGAATTGTGAGTGTGGTGAGCTCTTGCTTCTGCCATAGCTGCCATGCATGGATGCCGATTGCCACATGAGGCCACCCGTATCTGTCATGCATATTCTGCCAAACGAATTGAGCAAATCATTCTTCCAGTCACCGCGGAAGAACAATGTACTGATTCACGGTCTCTGGAACTTTGGAAAGATTCAAATAACCGACGTCAAACGGGTGAGGTTAGCTCAAGCTCACGTTCACGCTTCTGAGGAAACTGTTGCAGAAATTGATTCTTCAGCATCTACATACCGTTTCGTCGACAGGTGAAGCACATAGGAGCTGAGTCCTGAACGTTAATGCGTAGACTCGTTCCAGCACATGCTGTAGTGTTGGGTGTTCTCCAATGCACTTGGTCGATCGTCGTTTCATAACGTTAGCCGCTCAAATCCACGTTCAAAGGCGATCACAGACACAACGTTATTATAGAAGACAAGTGGTAAGCGCGGCCCTGGAACTGGCTCTAGTGGCACTCTTAGCTTGTGATTGATCCCATCTGACAATGCGATCCTATTCAACCGATTACCTTCAAAACTCACCGCAATCGTTGTATTGAGTGCCACTTGTAAGCTGCGCCACCTGAACTAACGTAATAAGCAAAACGGCAAACTGGTTCATTCTGATCGTTCGGTATAACACTTGGGCAAGTTGTCCACAAAAACTACGCTTGCACATTTATACTTCAAATTAGCCTTGTCTCACCAACTAGTGGCGTGATCCACTATGCTAACTTATCGTACGATGATTTCGGTAGAGCACAGTTTTCCCTTTAAACACTGCGTTTGCCACACAAGCAGCAAATCCTGACTCCATCTGAGACTTCGAGTTCTCACCGGTTGACCTCGAAAACAAGTCAAATTCCTTTTATGGCTGAGATACAAAATCTGAGATCATAACACAAACCCATAGATGAACGGAACAAAGAGTGACGGTTTCCTATTGACCTTGAAACTAGAAGCAAGGTTTGGATTGGCAAATGAGAAGAGGACTGTTCTTGTATCGAATGACAGTTTGATGCATTGTCGACATTTAACTATAGATACACGCCGTCATCATATTTCCTATTCAATTCGAATGATGCACTGGCTGTGCTCACAAGTTGCTGAGGTTGCCCAAACTGACCAGAAGATCTTTTATTTTCGCTAATACATGAACAGGTCAAACACGAATTATCTACGCTGATGGTTACCTACACATCAACCTTCCCAATAGGATCAGATTAACAAAGCGACGCGCAATCTCAGTCTGCACCCTGATTCGCTTTGAAGCGTACCTTGGAGTATTCGATTACTAGTATGCAGTTGAAGCGCATTCCAAACGGGTGTTGCGCGCCAGACTTTCAGAAATCCACTCAAGACACTCATAGAGTACAATACGATACCTTGTAATTAGTCGTGAACCATAGTATCGAGCTTTATTCTTCGTGATATGCTTGCGTAAGTGGTAGAAGTTCCATCTGAATCCCCAGTGGTCGCGGGTTTCCAACTTGCACTCCGTAGCTGGTGAGACCAAGCACGATTGAAGCACGTGGTGGAGGGAGTTGGCTTATTACATGTGAATAAACTAAATATTAGCAATTATTGTAGGATAGTTTCTGTGATAAGAACGGTACCTAAATGAATAGAGATTAAATTGGACTGCGTATTTACGACTTCTCCATGATTATCGCATTACCACACTTGTATACACGCACACATTGCCTTCTAAGGGAGATTGGTAACTACGCTGTTTGCAGGCACGACGTAAATGTGAAAAATTATCATAATTTGTTGGCAAGGAAGGTAGCGATATAGTAGCAGTAGCGATAAAGCGGATGTGTCGATTAGTTAAGCAATTAGACCAAGATCCCTATGTCGGTGCATACAAGAGTAGCCCCAGCAGAATAACGCAAACGAGATCGAGCTAATCATGAGCATTAGAAAAGCTCCACGTTGAGCAGAATGCGAGTTGCGGTAGTAAAGCTAAGGGGTCGGCCATGCAGCCCTGGTCCCTAACGTTGCATGCCACTGAGGGACGTACGGGCTATGTTTTGATTCCCCATGTATGTTGTGTTGTGAGTTGGCGACACGCTTGATGAATGAGCGCCTGCGCGCAGTTTGTGTAAACCGTGTTCGCATGCAATGAAGATTGTGTTGTCTTTTACTGCACTCTTTCCTCACCGTTTTATTATTTCTGCGTTGGTGCCATGATCATACAGTAGGAATTTGACCATGCCAAAGCAGTTTTCCGATGGAGATGTGGATGCTTGTTTCCAGAACTTTGAAACTATTGCAGCATGCAATGGAGTCAAGAGTGATTTTAACCTACTGACGATCATGAGCAGTTGTTAACCGGGAGAGCGAAGGCGATGTAGTTACTGACTCGGAAGGTGAAAGTCTGCTGCGTGTACAGTGAGAAATAGGTAGTGCTGTGTGCAGAATTCGGAAAGGAAATTTATCGGCTGCGGGCTTCGGAGCGTTTTCACTCTGCAAAAGGGAAGAGCACGAAGACCTGATGATGTTTTTCCAGGGTCTGAGTAGGCACCTGGCGATTTGGCTCCCTGATTTAAATGTTGCTGAGAGAGAACGATTGTTGAGAGGGTAGTTGGTCCGAAGTCTGTCAAGCGAAGTTCAGGATAGAGTCAAATTAGAATCCAAGGTTGGAGTCAACAAAGCGGAGGAGCTAAATGACTTTGATACAAACTTTTCGGAATCTGGGACGGTACGGAGCAGCCAGCGTTTGGAGCTGAAAAGAGAAAAGTAGACGAGTTGACGCGGATATCGGCAAAGCTGAATTCGAGAAATCCCATGAAATAGGTCCCACAACGCAACGAATATGAAAGCCGAGATGACCCTCGCTGTTTAATATGCAACCATGTAGGTCATCTCGCCCGATTTTGTATGAACATAAAAGTGTATTGTTGTTTCTCCTTGTCCATGCCGAGTAGGTGGAGAGTACCGTTCTATGAAATGAATATTGAACAGGCCTCAGTCCGTGTCATAGTAGACGCAGGGGCGTGGGTTGCCATTACGCGAATGGTCAATGGTATGCCATTAACTCAGTACTCACTTGTAATACAGTCGCTCTTCGGGCATCGCTTGAAGGTGACAACTGGACAGCGATTGAAAGTTATGAAAGGTGCAACCTTTATTAATTATTCGATGTTTATCGTGGAGTAGGTTAAGGAAACAATACTCGGTAATGCTATCCTCAAGCGACTCGGTGCCAGGATCGATTTGAGAAGAGACGTGGTAATTATGAGTGACGCAACAATCTCAAAGAGCGCAGGATAATGTAACCTAACGGGGGTCGTGAGTGTTTTATCCGATTGATCAAGTCGCACAATACGGGAAGGGCTACAGAATTATGTGCATTTGGACACCTATGTGAATGATAGTTACGGGTTCCGCAACTGCATATAACACAGGATACCATTAATCCCAGGGAAGAAATGCAAGCAATTTTACAGAAGGACACAACAAAACACCCTGTCTGAGGTACAGAAACACGTGGTGGTAATGTGGACTAAAGGGATCATTAGAAGAATGGACAGCACGTATCTATCACCGTTCCTATGGACGAAAATGGTAGACTGAACCTACAGATTGTGCATTGATTTCAGTGAGCTAAATACGGTGATAGTGAAGGACGCATTTCCGACGCCATAGATGGAGAATATTAGTTCTAATTTACACAACACAAGGCAGATTTCGTTGATAGATCTCCGCTAGGGATACTGTCAGTTTTCATTTATGGAAGAAAATGGTCATAAGACCGATTTTAGTGTGACCGGTCAGTAGTATGTAATTCTGAGAATGCCATTTGGATTGTGCAATGCACCTGCTACTTTCCAAGGTCATGGAATCCATAGTTGCGGATGCACTGGTATACTATCTGAAAAACTGCAACATCATCACTCCTGAGCAGCACGGTTTCCGTAGACAGTGCTCATGTACAACGAATTTACTAATTGCACGCAGTAGTTGGACCGAGGCAGCTGACGTTGGAGAAGATTTTGATGTGCTCTACCTGGATTTTTCCAAGGCTTTCGATCGTCTGGACCATCGGATACTACTATCCAAGCTGCGGCATTACGGGATCGGAGACCCTCTTCTAAACTGGATTGCCAACGTTTTACTGCAACCGCAATTAGTGGTCAGAGTTCGGAGCTCTTTATCGAACCCCATACAAGTTGAGTGTGGTGTGCCGCAAGGCTCAGTTCTAGGTCCACGTTTGTTTTTGCTGTTTATTAATGACCTTGCACAAGGAAGCGCTTCAAACTTCCTAATGTTTGCCGACGATATCAAGATCTGGCGCAGGATCCAGGCGAACGCCGACCAACATGTGCTTCAAAGTGACTTAGATACAGTGTATCAATGGTCGACCCAAAACTTATTGCAATTCAACGTAATAAATGCAAGGTGCTTTCCATCCGACATCAGGGCAGCTACTCATCCCGACTCGGAACGAATATACTACAACAATCAACTCTCGAACGTGACTTGGGTGTCTTGGTTCAAGATGACTTGGGTTACTCCAGGCAATCCGAAAAGGCATCCAAGACCGGGAACCAACACATCGGGCTGTTGCGACGGGCGTTTGGACAACAAAACTGCTCCATATTTCCACAAATGCTCAGTGTGTATGTTCGCCTCCATGTTGAATACGCAATTCAAGCCTGGCATCCATGGCTGAAACACGACCTTAATGCACTGGAGCAGCCACAAAGCCAGACATCTAAGAACGTAATTGGAATGCGCAATCATTCCTACCAGGAGAGGCTGCAACGATTGGGGGTGTTCAGTGGAAGCTATCGCAGACTACGAGATGACCTGATTATGGCATACTTGATTCTGCGAGACCCACATCATGTGTGCCGCCGTTTACTGCAACTCAGCAGCAATACAAACCTGAGGGGCCACTCATTAAAACTCGCAGAACAATACAGTCGTCTGGAGTGTCGCAGAAATCTCTTTTCCATTCGTGTCTGTCACCTGTGGAATGCTCTCCCAGAATCGGTTGTCACTGCAACGACACTAACAGTATTTAAAAGACTCTTGGACCATGTACTCATCCACTTACACTTTGTTACTTTACACTACGTCTCCATCATACCTCTGGAGTATAACGTGGAATTATTTGTTTTTAACTGCAGAGCTATTTCAAGTGGGGCCCATAAACATGTAAACAAAAATGTTTTCAAAACTAGACTTTGGTCTCGACATGCACCTGAATGTTGATACATTGAACGCATATCCTAATACTCCACCAAGGTATGTTACGCATGCAGGAGCATGGACTCTTCTGTACGAATTAATGTTTGCCGCTATAGACAGAGCTTCTCTCATCAAGAGAAATATACATATTATTATTATTAATCATCCCGATCGTACAGTTTATACATGAAATATCGCGTAAGAACGAAGCACTGACAGAAATGATTGAACGGCTGAGGAGCACCACAAGTGATTCATTTGAGGAAACGGTAACTGAGAGTTAATCCCAGTCGTTCCAATCAGGCCCCGCATTAAAACTGAGGAAGAAGGCTAGGCAACGCACAGAAAATGCGCCGTCTGTGACTTTAAACTTCAAAAGCACCAGTTGCTCGAACATGCCTGAAACAGACACCACCAGTCCGA